CTATCCTGTAAATTTCCTGGTTCAAAGGATGCCTTCCCATGCCTCATATAATTCATGAGGTCTTTCATGTATGTTACCATGACATGCTTCAACATGTTGTTATAATCAATTTTGATTTTAAGTTCTCTTTCAAGTCTTTCTACTGACATCTTGTTAATCAACCCACTTGTAGTTATAACTATGGGTATTACAATGACACTTTTAAGATCTCGTGCATATCTAAGTTTTTCGGCAAGTGGTGTGTATTTACCCACCTTATTGGCATATGCACTGGATAGGTTTTCATCTTTGACTATAGTGATATCGATGATGTACCCTTTTTTTCTTCGTTGCATTGCCAGTATATATCAGGTCTTCTTGCGAAAGACTGTCTATCATCGACTAACATGTTCATTTCCGCAAGAATCACATTATTTTCACTTTCATCGTACAGGCATTTCGGAGGGGTTCCAAGGTTTATTTCCGTGTTGACCATTTTGAGGCGATTAAGGAGAGAAATATGAATCATTCTACACACATAATTGTGTCTATCAATTGGAGACTTTTTGGTCATGGGACAGCTTAAAAGGATGTGTGGTATCGTTGCAGTTACATTTTTGCAGCAGTAACATTTTTCATCTCCTTTCTTTTTTGTGATTATCAACCTTCTCATTCCAACAAATGTCATATTCTCTTGCATTTTGATTATCTGGACAAAGGCTGATTTCTTTATGTTACATTTTTTCCAGGCTCTGCTAACAATCACTTGATGGCATTTTTCACTTGCAAACATTCTAATAAGTGTTCCTGATGTTCCAAGAGCACACCATTTGGAGATATAGAATTCATTGGTTTTTGAGTTGATGTAATTTAGAACTGTTGATATAGATTTTTTGTTAATTGTTTCCTTTTCAATGATTTGTTCGAGGTCTTCCAGTTTTATTTTGTTATTTAAACACTTTTCTGCTCTTCTTAGAAGGTTTTGGGGCGAGTCTCGTGTGTGTTTAAGTAACTCAGTAATTATCGAATTACCATGCCAAATGTATTTTAGAAACACTCGAATTAATTCCTTGCCGAACTCGTCTCTGCAATTCATTAGACCGTATCCCAAATTATTTTGGCTAGTATATAATCTATAGATTGTAAGACCCTTACTATTTAAATTTTGTTTTGTTAGGAACTCTCTTATTTTTTTGTCTAATTGGTCCAGTTGACCAAGTTTCCATGGGATAACACAGTATCCATATCTTAGTTTAGAAATGATGTCACTATTGATTGTTTTAATGAAGTTCAATGCGCTTAAGTTTCTTCCTACAATTTTGGTCATGCAATTATCAATTTCTTTTATTATTCTTGTACAATAAGCATTCATGTCCACACTATCATTCATTTCGACACCGAGATATTTATACGGATTCAATGTGTTTACTATTGGTACATTTTGCATATTATTTGGTATTTGTGCTCCATTCCTTGCTGCCACTCCACATTTTGTTGTGTTAATTTCCATTGACATTGCTTTGAATGATTCACATACAATTGTGTGGACGTTTTCCATTTGTTGGGTTGAAGGGGCAAGTACTTTTAAATCATCCATATAAAACGTGTGCCCTAGTTTGATGGTTGTTTCTGCAAGTACAGAAACAATTTCAACGGGTTTTATTGTTTTGTTTGGGCACTTTGAAATGCAGTCGATTGAGATAACAAAGAGAAGAGGAGACAAAGAATCCCCCTGTAGGATTCCGTTTCTTACTCTGATGTTCCCAATTATGTCTCCATTATAAGTCAAAGAAATCTTCCATTTGTTCATCATCTCTTCGATGATGTATATTATTTCACATGGAATATTATAAAATTGTAAGCATTTTAAAAGCCACTCTTGATTTACTGTATCATATGCCTTCCGGATGTCGTAATATGCTTCCAAGTATTTTTTATGACTCTTTTTTAATGCTGCTTGAAAGAGAATATTCTGGAGCAATCCTTCTTTTGAAGTATAAGAACATTTTTTGCACCCCAGTTAGTTGTTTTCAAGTTTCTTATCTATCGAATTCATTTCTAGTTGTTTTTCAATTTTGTTTTTTAAAATTGAAGTGAAAACTTTTATAATTGTGTTCAGACAAGTAATGGGGCGATAATTTACCGGGTTTTTAGAATCATTACCTTTTGGTATAAGTACTGTTCTTCCAATCAATATATTTTCAGGTATTTCGTCAGGGTATTTATACCATTTTTTAAATATATCCAGAAGTGCATTATGTGCACATGTACAATATTTAATGTAATATCCTTGTATCTTGTCAAGTCCGGGTGCCTTCCAATTGGCGTTATATTTTATAGCCATTGTCAATTCTTCAAAAGAAGAAAAACACAAACAAAATACACAACAACAAACTTTCATTAATAAATAATTTGTATAAAAAACATATTTTTTTAAAACTTTGTTGTTGTTCTAATATTTGTTAAAATAATTGATTTTTAATTAGCTTTTTGTTTTAAAAATCTTTGTTCAAAACCAACAAAATTAACAACACTTATATTAATTATAACAATACTAAAACAATTCACTTCATAAATGAATAATATGTTTGTAATTATTGATTATTAGAATTAATCAATTTAAATTAATATAGTGTTTATTTATTAATTTATCAAAATATTAGTAAAAAGTTATGATAATTTATGTTAATTATGTAATTAAATTGTTATAGATTAAGGGACGTTCAGTTTTTATGAATGAGAAGAATAATAACGAGTGTAGAGCTTTATAGCAAAAGATCACCGAGATTTGGACCAAGACAATTATTGACATTGGCTCAGGAAAAAGTTATTTATTACACGAATTGGAAGATTTAAGTCTCGAAATTATTAGAGTCGAAGGCAAACAAAATTTATTAGACAGAATGGAACAACGCCAAGAAAAAGTTTTTCAAAAAAGTTCACAAAAGTCGTCATAATCAATTCAAAAACCCCTTGATAATCATATCAGACATCCTAAAACTATTTCTGTGTATTTATTGGCCGATATAACGCTTCAGGAATTTATGACCAAAATTTGACAGTCACCCCCTTCGAATGAACTGTTAATGACGCGTTTTTACACATGCGGGAACTTGATTTCAACACATTTAAGGCTTTCTGTGAAGATTCCAGAGGTGAAGGATGTTGCTGCTGTTGGGTGTTGTTATCACAAGTTCACAGAACGCAACGACTTTAAAAAACACAACACAGCAAGCAAAATACATTGAGGGGGAAATCTAAATGTTCTGAGGAGTGTCAAACACCCCATTAAGATGAAGAATTAAACTGATTTTCGATGAGCAAACTTGTTAGTGAAATTACAGAGAAGGAAGGAAAATAATTTAAGTTGGCACATAACGAATTCTCGACGTTTGCAGACTCTCACCGTCACACAAAAACAATATCTGGAAATGATGAAACAATAATCATCCAAAGCATTTTTCGAATTTGTGATGGAGAAATATAACGGCGCCAAAAAGACCACCCCACAGAAAAAACTGTGAACAAAATATTTTAAACGTATTTTTAAAGTGCGCTTGTTATCATTAAAAAAAGAAAAACATTTAAATGGAATACAGAAAACTACGCTAAACAATTTGAAGCATTTTGTGACCATTTTGTGTCAGCTGTTAAGTTCAATGCGATGTATAATGACAGCGCTGTTGGAGATATTTTAATCGAAAGTTTATTTAATATAATAATATAATAATATAATAATAATTAAGTTATATATTATTAAATAAAACTACAATTGATAATTTAATTTACTATTACGGAAGAAGAAAGGTATTATAAACAAAGATATTCATTATTTAGTAAATATGACAAAGGAAGACTAATGGATAGAGAGGCATGGTACTCAATGACACCAGAAGACATCGCGAGGAATGAAGCAATGAGTCTACACTTCACTCATTTTTAAAGGAGAAGAATTAAAGTGTTAGATTTGTTCTGTTGTGTAGAGGGGTACTTGATACAACACGCCGCACAGAACTTTTCCGTGACTGTTGTTGATATTGATAAAATGAAGTTTGAGATGCTCAAGCACAATGCTGAGATCTATGAAGTTGAGAAGAGATAAATTGTGTCTGTGAAGATACAATTGAGTCGTCGAAGAGATGAACACAAGGGAATATGATGTTATTATCACATCGCCGCCTTGGGTTTGTTATTTAAAGATATTATTACTTTCTCATTTTATGTGTTCTCTGAATAATTTCCATATAAGTAATTAAAAGGGCAGGCCTGGTGCTTTTAGAAACAAACAAAGTCTCAATTCGTTGTTCCCTGGATTGAAGAATCTCTTCTGTGAATGCGTGGAAAAGTGCACAAATGTGATACTTCACGTCCCAAGACAAATGGAACCGGAAAATATCACAAGAGAATTCAATTTTCCGATCGAAGTTGTTACTTATGCACTCGGGGAATAAGATGTCATGCAATCGTTTATTATTGGTCATTGATTATATCATAATTCATTCCTTTGTGTTTTTAAGAGTACAAACTTCGGTTAAATCATTTGAAATCGCTCAAATTTGTATATTAAAGTGTATTTTAATTGAATATTTTTAAAGTAATTTATAAGTGTTGTTTTTTCAAGAAATTATCAAATTTATACATTTTTGACATTTATTAATGTACAAATAATTGATAATTTGATTATTTTGAGTTAAAATACATATTTTGAGTAAAAGTATA